TATTTAAATTCCGTGGAAGCAAGAGGGCGCTGGATGATCATAAAATTAGACTTCTAGTCGTCATATTAAAAATAATTGTGCATATAAAGACGCATGTGTAGTGTGGACAGCCGAACAGTAAAAGTATCAACTTTGTCAAATGATAAACGGTTACTTTTATCATCAGTAATTTGTGCGATTATTAGTTAACTGTCATGTTAACGAACGAGGTCATTTTATCAAAAAAGGTGATTCGATCAACTATTATTGTCGAAGTAAAAAAATATAACCTGAAGAACATCGTGTTTCAATGTCTATTCGTGAACATCATTATTTGAAATTGCGAATAACGAATTTTCGAGCAAGCTTTTTGCTTATGGTCGAACATGTTACTTATATCATCGGTTCAGTTGTAAATTTATTTGAAACCTCAAAATGACTGGTTTGCGTGAAAATAAAAAACTGTTGACTCGTCTCTACTAAATCTTCGGGTACTTTGTATATACAGAATGTTTCATACATTTTTAGTAAAAAAGATAAATGATAAAAAATAACTTCACAAAGGAAAAAAGTTGAATATAATAATTTATATTTTTCTATGACTTTCTTCACAAATATGTACAATAAATATATACTACAAACCAAAAACTTGATAAATGGCAAGTGCATTTACTTTCCTTATAGAATTATATGTATTTATACAATAAGATATAGCATTTAAAAAATCAAAATTTTATAAAATATCTTATAAAATTATAAGATCATTGTAAATCATATATATATTTTGAATTTAGTGAAAAAAAGAAAAGAATTATATAGAAAAAATTTAAATGGAATAATAATATTTATTTTTCCATAATCTCTTTCTTAATAAATATATAGTGATATTTAATATTTAATAAATATAAATGCATTTTTTCTTAAATTGAATTATTTATTTTTGAATAAAGATATAATATAAATTTAAAAAATAAATATTTCATAAAATATCTTTTATTTTTTTATAAATCATGCTTTTTTAATAGGAAAAAACATTCTACATATTATTTTATTATAAACAAACTTCAAATTCTTTAGAAAATAGAGAAATTAAATAATAAAAATATTTATTATATTACTTGTGGTTTTCTAACAAAATGATCGAAAAGATTTCTTAGAGAATTATCCGAGAAAAGTTGGGCCAAAGTAATGACCAATTCCGTTATCAAATAATCGAGCCAGCTGATAAGGAATAGTCACAGCGAGGGAAGATATATGGGGCAGATGAAAGATCTGTCTTTTTTTTTTCTTTCTCCTCTATATCTTAAGAGATGCTGGAATCCTCCAAGTTCATTCTCTCCAAGCGACCGTAAACAACTCCATTACGGTTTTCTATCTTCGAGATCACCAGAATACCCGGAGAAGTGATCTTAAGATCGTAAATATGTCTCCCTTCTACGTTTTCTTTTTATGTGGTTGTAATATATCAAAATCAGACTCTATCATAAAGACAAATCTTGAAACCTTGATTTTTGAATTTGAAGAAGTTATCTCAAAACTCTTGAAATCGGAAATTTGAATTTTTTTTAAGTTTTTAAATTTTTTAAATTCTCTGAAGACTCATTAAATTCTCTTAAAATTTTTTTTCGATAAATTAGATGAAAATGATATATTTTTTTATTATCATTTTTCGTTTTTTCTAATGCTATTATTTATTTTTAAAATTATTTTAAAAATATTATAATCAAAATTATCAAAATCAATTTTTTTATCAAAATATTATAAAAGTATATATTAAACAAAAACGGAGGATGTTTGAACTGGAAATTTTAGTAAAATATTTATATATATTATATATATTTTATAAAATTTAGTAAAATATTTGTTGATGCACGAACAATACAGCTGTAACAATGTACTTACTGCATTTAATTAAGAAAGTTCCCAATCTAGTATACATGATCGCACGCGTATAACTTTCTTGATTCGCAAATGTTTACTTAATAATTTGATCGTCGATTATAATAAGATTATAAGTTTAATTTTAGTTTTCGTGTGTAATGTTGTTCAATTTTACAGTAATATCTCCACTTTCCAAATTATTATCTTTTACTATTTTAATATTGATTGGTTAATTATGATTGATTGTTAATAATTTTTTTTTTTTTTTGAAAAAAACTTATTTCTGGCCTATAAATTTTTTCTTTAAATTCAATAATTCAGTCTATTCTTATCATTTTAAGTTTGAGTTAAAATTTTGATACAAGTGTTGACTAAATTCTTCTAATTATAAAAAAAAGAAAAGATAAAATAAATATAAAAAGATAGCAAAATAGGTTTAAGAAGAGGTTAGTTAGGTTAAGTTAGATTAAGTTAGATTAGGTTCAAAATTATTAAAGCTACATTTATATTAGACAATTATATCAATTAATTATTAATTAAGTCAATCAATTTCAATATAAATTGTGAGTGAAAATTAATTTATACAGCAATTTGATTAACAATTGTTTAATGTACTTTTTTCAAAAATTTATAATCAATCTTTTCTCTCAAATAATGTTCAAATAAAGTGAACAATTTATATAAAAACTTTTGAATGATTTAATTTTATTTTGCAATAAAATTTCTAAGAAAATGATTATTAATTATTTTTTTAAATTTTTAAAAAATAAAAAAAATATTAATCAAAATTATATTAGAAAATATTTATTGTATTTATCGAAATGAATTTCTGACAAATAATTTTATTCATTCCTAATTTTTTTTATTATAAAATGCTTAGATTTTATTACTGCATTTATCATATTAAAAGAAATATTTTGAACTCACAAGATGAAAAATGAAAATTTAAAAAATGATTTTATATTAATATCTGTTATATATTCAAATAAATATGTTTAATATAATTTAATATAATAATAAATTATTATTATTATTATAATATAATAATAAATATATTTTAATTGCTATTGTCATCTGCTAATAAAATTTTTACTTTATATTTTAAATTATTTTTTCATTTGTTATCTTGATAATATATAATATTTGAAAACTAACCGTTGACATATATTCGTGTTTAAGTAAATATCAATTTTGTTAAAATCTTTGTTGATAAATATATTATATTTTGTTATAAATAACATACTATTAGAGACCACCAAGTGATTAATCTTAATTATGTAAAAAATAAATTTTGATAAAAGTATAATTGCATAATCATATAACTCATAATGATAATATTATCATTTAATGGAAAAAAAAGACAAATATTTTTTAACAATAAATACCGTTATTTTCAAGAATATATCTTTCATTTAAGATCTTTCAATAAAATTTTGCAAAAAAAAACACCATAATAATTCCAAATTTCATATGTATCTTAATTTTTATTAAAATTAAAATTTTTAAGTTAGATAAATTTTTTCGTGAAATAATGTACGAAAAATTTTGTGTCGGATTGTATTTCTACGTGCATGAAATATTTCGACGATTGAAAATAAAAATAAAAATAACATTCTTTCTCTTTCTTCTCGACTCTGTTCGCCATAAAATGAATTTAAAGTTTTAAAGTTCTCGGTACGAACGCAATTACTATAACCCCCTAATTTCGCGAGTTGATTACGCGCAAAAATCGTTTCTGAGGAAATCGTGCAAGGAGTTTGTAGCCGGTTCGCACGATCATGATCGAATTATATAATCAAAGATTAATTTATAAACTACATATATACATATTGTATATATACACAACTCAAAGAAAGTTATAAACTTCAAAGTAGAATTCGACTGCGTTCAATTTGGTCCAGATTTCATTGATGTGAACAACGCGATAATTCGAGATTTATGCACCCTATAACGTAAATCGTTGCTCTACGGTCACGACCATGTTTTCTATTCTCCAAGGCTGATGGTCGGTATATTTCACCGTCTGTGACATCAATCGTCGGCTCAGCGACACGAGATTCAATTAACAGGCTATAGGATTCAGTGAAGTGCTCAAGTTTTTGTGACATTTAGATAGATATATGATTTTAATCTAAAGAGTAGATGAAAAATCATCGTTTGCAAGTTTTTTTTTATTTTATATATAATTTTATTATAGACGATTTATAAATGTTCACAATGCTTTCTAGGAATAATGTAATGGTCTAATTAGTGAAGAATTAATTAATTTTTTTAAAAATTAGAAAAAAACTGGTGAGGTTAATTGAATTAGTATTTTAAGAATTACAATATTTAAGTAATAATTCTCTCTTAAAAGGGAAATGATTCAGTTATTGGAGAATAAATTTTTAAAAATTAAGAAAACATAGAGTATATTATAATATTATAACATTATATATATAATAATATTATAATATATATAATATATAATATAAATAAAATAATATATATATAAATAATATAATATAATTATATTATTTTAAAAGAATGGTTCTCAATTTGTGTTGCATGCTTTTTGAAATCATTATAATCACTTTTAGTTTTTTTAGCTTTTATTTAATATAATTATATTGCTATATTATATATTATATAATTATTATAAAATTAATCTTTAAAAATTAAAAAAGAAATAATTGAATTATTATTTTAAAATATAAATTTCTTTTGATTCCTTTAATAAATAAACATATAATTTTTTATAGGACTGTGATTCAGGAATTTAATTATTGAAAACTGAATTAACTTTTTAAAAATCATGAAAAAAATATGAAGTAATTGAAAATATTATTTATTTTATAAAAATGATTCCCAATTTGTTGAAATATCGATAATAATGATAATAATAAGAAGAAGAAAATATGAAAAATATATAAAAAATATATTTAAATCAGTATATTTGAAAACAAATTGAAATAAAATATATATATAGAAATATTTCTATATTCTGAACGGATATGTCTCAGTTCTAATTTAATAGTAAATTAATTCTTTGCTTCAAAGGAAATTATAGCAAATATTTTATAAATTATAGCACATATTCAATGAAATGATGATATGTAATAATAAGATATTTTATCGAAAACAATATCTTCAGTATTTACCATTTTTCGAATGAAAATGACTCGCAAGAGCTTAATTTTATCGCCCGCCTTTTTCCAGCATCACGTCAATGACCCTCTTCTTCCTCCTTCGCTTCTTCTCCCTCCATTCTTCATTCTTTCAACGCGACCGCGCATTCCTAGTAAAAATAAGCGAATTCCATGTGGATTTCTGCAATCAGTTGATGATGTGAGGTAAAGAAACATATTGCGATGCTTTTATTGAGTAACCAAGAAAATGTCTACATAATTCGTTTTGTGATAGAAAAAAATTGTAGTTTCGAAAAACTCTGGTAAATTGTGAAAGTAATCGACACGAAATTTGAAAGTTATTTGGAAGAAAATTAGATTCTAAATATGAAACTTTAATTATTATTTTCTAAGATATTAATAAAAATTTCACTACATATTGAATATTATACTATATACGTGATTAATACATTGAATATTTGATATCCAAATATTATTATACAATCGTGTTCGATTATTGAGTAGTCAATAATGTTATAATAACAACATCAACCTTTATAATAACAGTATCAATCTCTATATTTATATTATAGAATGTTAGAATATTTATAGAATATATAAAATTTCAGTGACATGACAATTATAAAATATATTAACATAACAAATATGTCTGTGTAATAATTTTTCGTGTATCTTGTAATTCTGCAAGATATTTTATAATCAGATCACACAGTTTCTTTATTTCTTTATTACTAGTTTTATTTTATTTATATTTTAATTTCAATAAAAATCATGGTTATTAAAAAATTAAAAACATTTAACTTATCCGTTATTCACTAGATTTGAGTTGAATTAGGTTAGGATAAAATCGATATTATTATAGCACTCAACAATCGATAACAATAATTATTACAGTGAAGATAGTTATATTAATAATATATAAATAGATTTTCAATATATATAAAAAAGTTTTTTTTGTTAATATTTCGCAATAATTAGTTGAAATTTTATATCTTGAATAGCCTTTCTCTCGTAACAATTCTTCAAATTCTTATTGATCCAATTGATTACTAGGATTTTTCGGAACTTTATTTTAAAAAATTATATATATGATAAAATAAATAATCATTTATGAAGCTTATGTTTTACCTTGATTTACAAACAACTTGATTTATAAATAATGGAAATTGATTATGGGTGAATTATATGTATACACTTATTAATACAAGATGGATGATTGGATGAATTTATGATGAATTTATGATCGCTATATGCGTAGTAAGAAAAATATATAACAGACGTCGCTGTTGTTCTAAATATTGTATCTATGCGATTCTCTTTTTTTTTGTTTTGTCATTTTTATGTTTGTGTTATTAGTATTGCGTCTATTCATGCAGTGATACATTAAATGATATAGTAAAAGCTTTATATTAATAATTCAAAAAAAATTTATATCAATAATTCTCTCATTTTTATATTCCAATAATACATTTAATAATTTCTTGTTTAACCTAAAATAATCGTCTTAGCAACAAAAATAAAATAAAATTCGAAATAAAAATTTTAATATTCTAATATTTTGATTTATATTAATAAATATATAAATAAGAAATTTGTTTTTAGTGTAAAATTTCTATTCATAATATATTTAATTATAATTTTTTTTATTAATTATTTCTTATTGTTTGTGCAACAAACAAATAATATTAAAACATATTTTTATTAATTGTTTATTCATTTATTTTACGGAATTTAATTAATAACAATAATAATAATAATAATAATAAATTATATCTATATAAGTATTATACATTGAAACGTTTTTTACTAATAATAAGATTTTTGTGTCTATCAAACTTCGTACATTCTTAATGATGAAACGACAAATAAAATTCTTAGAAAACTAGAAGATGGAGAGTCATCGACAAGTTCGTAGAATTTCTCGTTATCCGATATCAATCTCATCTGTTTCAATATTTGCACAATCCTCGTCAAAAAGTGTAAGTATTGCAATTTAATCTTTTTCTCAAGAGTCGGTAAAAACGGAATCTGCATCCAACAAATCCCGAGAGCAAAATTTTATCGGATAATTTAATCGAATGATGATCGCGCATGTGTCTCGATTCTAAATTTTTCGAAGGATATTAATCTATATAAAAATGTGATATAATAGTATATAAATAGTCACAATATATAAAGTATATAAATAATCACAAATAACGGAAATTAATCGTTCGTGTCGATGAGTTTAAGACAAAATTAAATTTAGATCGATATCATATCATTAATTATGATTATCAATTATTAAATAATAACTAATATCATAATATTAAATAATATAATATATAATATAATTAAATTATTAATTATTTCATATTCAATATTATTTTATTTAATATTTTCATATCACTGTAATTATAATTATTCATAATAATCAATCTAACTTAATCTATACATAAAATAAATACATACAAGTTATTTTCTAAAAACATATTTCAAAATTAGTTTTAATTCCAAAAATTGATAACAAATAACCACGAGACAATTAATCAGACATTATATATTTGCAATAATCTATTTATTATTTGCAATATTGTCTCCTTTATTTATTATTTCTTGTTATTTCTTTGTCAATAATTAATTTTCAAATCATAATTACAAATAAATCTCGATTTCAATTAGAACTATAGTAGATTCAGTGGAATTCATTACCTAAACATCCATTATCTAAATATCTTGATATTTAAACGTTCTATTAACTCGACATTCCATTATCCAACTAGTATACTATTTTTACTCCCGACAATATAAGAGTATTGAGAAAACTTTTATTGTGAAATTAAAAAGATTAACGAACAGAACATTTTTCAAGATATACAAAAATTTATTGCGATATTATGGAATATTAGGATATAAAGAATACAATATTATAATACAAAATTATAATACAAAAACATTGCCGCAGAATAAATTCAATGTGATAAAAAGTATAACGATAAGGATATTGTTAACATATTTCAAATTTTAATACTAATAATAATACTAATACTATAATTAATATTATAATAATACTGGAATCCATTGAAAGTGACAATGAAAATATGTCTTTTTATATTCCATAAAAATTATTATAGAAAAGAAATTTTATTTTTTAAATAATTCAATTGTCTTGAGATATTTTATTCGAACATTTTTTTATTCTTAAACAAGATCATTCGATAACGATAGATTAGTTTTTCAAGTCATAGAATGTACTCCCACGCCATATCACATGTCTTCTTTGAATAACATCTTGTAGCTATCCAGAAAAATTAATTTACATGGTGTTCTATGAATAATGATTAGTGATTCTACTTTTTCGATTTATTTTTGCATGTAGAATTACGCTTCAATTGACAAGATTACAGAAAATAAATACATAAAAAAATAAATATTTTTATTTCTTCGAATAATGCAAAGTTTTGTTAATAAACTTTTAAAATAATATTTAAACATATTATATTGTATTAAATATATATATATTAAAAATTTATAAAATAAAAAAATACAAAATAGATGTTTAATATATTTTTTATATTATATATTTATATTAATTTATATTAATATAATAATTTATTTTAATTTATATTATTTATATTAATATATATTTTATTTAATATATTTTAAAATATATTTTCATATCAATTTAAACAAATACTATTTTAAAATAAGAAATTATTGAAATATAATAAAAAAAATAATATCAAATAATAGTATATATTAAAATTAAATTTAAAAATTTTATCATATAATATAATTATTCATTAAAATCACGATATTATATATAATATAAGACATAAGAAACTTAATTTATAGATGTATGAACTAAATATGATTTTATAATTTTTATATTTATATCTCCTATTTTTGATAATATTTGATTTAAATT